GAATCATCAGGATCCACTTCTTTCTGCTACCATTAACCCAGCCTGGAGCTCATTGATTTGAGCAGACTGGTTGGTCAGTGAATCCTCAGGATCCACTTCTTCCTTCTACCATTAACCCAGCCTGGAACTCACTGATTTGAGCAGAATGGTTGGTCGGTGAATCCCCAGGATCCACTTCTTTCAAATAGCATTAACCCCAGCCTGGAGCTCACTGATTTGAGCAGACTGGCTGGCCAGTGAATTCCCAGGATCCCTTTGTTTCTACTACCATTACCCCCAGCTCTGGGGTTACAAACATGAACTTCACCTTTTACATGGTTGTTAGGAATCCAAACTTCGAAATTCAGATCCTAATCTTCACACAAGTACTGTGCCCATTAAGCCGTCTGCCCACCACCCATTTTTTAAGGAATATATATATTCCTTTAGCCACATTAGTTCTTACTGTAACTGCAAATTTCATATCAAGCAAAAGGGGAAAATTATAAATTTTGTCTTCTTTTTAGTCAACACTAAGCATTCAACTGTGAATACCTTTCTCTACTTTTCGTAATTACTTCTCACGATTCTCTCCAGTGAGGTTTTGCTTCCAAGCGTTTTTCAGTTAATGAAGGAGACGGCAGCGTCACAGCCCAGAGGCCAGCCATTCTCAGTCACAGTTGGGTTAAGATCAGCATTTGTTTCTAAAATCATACACAAGATCTAAGAACCCCCACCCCACTTCAGGGATGGAGAGAATACTAACCACGTAAGTTGGTGTCTTAGTATCAGCACATAGCGTGTGTAAATTGGTTGTCATACTGCTGTGCACTAGATGCTCTAAAAGGTAAAAGGCAACCTTGAATCCTGGTGGACAGGATGTGGTCAGGTGACCGAGAAAATTTCTTAAATGCCCAGAACCTGTATAAAATCGCACTTCTTCTCTAGAACGTCATTTTGTTTCCACCCTAAGGCATGATATCATTTAGATGCAGGAGGCTCCAGGTCAGCACACTGAATGCATAGAATCAATGAATGTCTATATCCATCTGCATGTGTGTGTGTGTGTGTGTGTGTGTGTGTGTGTGTGTGTGTACAAGGTATGCACAGGTACATTTTGTGTAGAGGCCAGAGGTCAACCTTGGATGTCATTCATTTCTTAGGAGTTTTTTGAGCGAGCACTGGGATTCCAAGCTTTCACTAGTACACCAGCTTTTCACTTGGACGCTAAGGATAGAACTCAGGCCCCAAGCTCACATGGAAAACACTTCACCGACTGAGCTGTCTCCCCAGCCCTACCTCCATCTCCTAAGGTAGGAACTACCATCTTGTCCATCATTTAGCACACAGTAAATATTCAAAGTTTTTTTTAAAGAAAAGAATTCAAATGTGGTGGTTGTCAGCCAACAGCATTTGGGAGGCAGGAAGATTGAGAATTCAAGGCCAATCTTGACCACATAGCAAGACTCCCGATGCCGGGGTGGTGAGCAGAGAAGAGAAGAGGGGAGGAGAGGAAGAAGAAGGGAAAGGGAAGGGGGAAGGGAGAGGGAGGAGGAAAGCCAACTAGTTATTTAAACCAACCAGTCAAGCCAATTTGTAAATGCTGAACAAGACACTTGCTCAAGGAGAAGTGTTGTAATATTTCACCTTCATGTGAACTCCAAGTAGAAGCAGGGAGGATGATCTCCAAGGGAACAAAACAACAAAAGGGATTCCTGGGGTTCTCAGAAAGAAGAAAGAAGTGTAATATTCTTTTCTCATGTGCAATATGGCAATATGTGCACTAAACATACATGTGTGTGTGTCCACGTTCATCTGTGTAGGGGCATATGCATGTGTGTGTGCATGTGGAGGCCAGCGGTGTCATCTGCAATAATTCTTAACTTGTACATAGAGGCAAGGACTCTTGTTTGAACCAGAGCTCCCCAGTTTATCTAGTCTCTCTAGCTAGTTTGCCATGGGGATCCCAACTCCACCTTGCATGCACTGGAATGAAAGGGAGACAGCCACAAAGGCCAGGAATCTACATGGGTACTGAGGGTGGAAACCCCAGTCTTTGTCTTTGTACTACAAGATTTTCACCTCCTGAGCCACTGCCCTCACCCAGGATGGTAATACTCTCCTGGCCATTTCCAGTCCTAATGATGTATCCACGCATCCATTAGGCCCGGCTACCCTCACCTGAGCTAGTCAGTTGTTTCTTTGCATCCCAAGTACTCTCAGATCAACCGGCACTCCAGCCAATGCTCCTGGCCCCAGAGAGTTCGTGGGGTGAGAACTTAGCTAAAAGGAGCAGAGGAAAGAATTTACCCATAATTCTTCCCAATAAGCTTGCATCTAGTCACCTGGTGCTGGGAACCAGATGACACTCAGACCTGGAAATAATACAGAAATAATACAGCTAACAGAAAGTGTTTGCCCATCAGGTGAGCAAACACTGAGAATCAGCCGGGTTCCTTTCTTCTTTTCACCCTCATTCTTCACTTCATTGTTCTCAGCCATTTTGCTTTTTTCCATCCCATTAAATCCCTTTCTCCATGTTATGCTCTTCTAACTCTTTGGGGTCTGATGCGCTTAAACCCTCCTTGCTCCATCTAAGATTCCACGCCAATGCTCTGCCCACTCCATCCTTTGCCGATGAACCCCCATGCCTTCTCTCCCCCTGCTGTCTCCTCTCTCTTAACCCTGTCCTAGGACTGCCTACCCTCCTCTCCTTTCTTCCCTTTTCCCTGTCACTAGGACCCTGAGGGGGGCTGTGAATTCACCAGGAGTACTTCATTCTCTCCCCTCATCTTGATGGGGTCTATAGCCAGTTCTCCTGTTGCTCAGAGATGTGGAGGCAGTTGCTAAGAGACAGAGAAACGTCATTACCTGGCCCTCGAGGAAAAAAAAGGGAAGCGATAAAGAGAGAGAGGAGGGGAGAGAGATGGAGGGAGGGGGAAAGAGGGAGAGAGGGAGGAGGGAGGAGAAGATCTGGCTCTGGCGGAAGCCACACTCCAAGGCAGCCTCAGCACCAGCTGAGTTTCCCAAGAGGCATTCAGATTCTGTGAACTTTCTAAGCATCCTCTCTCAGATTTCCCTTCAGCGTAAAAGAAGGGGCACAGGGATCACAGGACAGGAAAACGCAGAAGATGCTGGCCTGGGATCCAGGAGACGTGGAAGAGGAAAGTCGGGGGAGGGGAAGAGCCCAGTAGGCAATCTGTTCGGAAGCTAGCAAGCAAAGGAGCGGGGATTCCAGGATGAGGGAGGCAGAGCCGTTTGTCTTCTGCAAATTGATGTCTGTGTCCTTGGAACAGAGTGAGTAGTCTCCCGAGGGCCTGTGGGAGTATAGCAGGAGACCCTGAGGCGGAGACAAATAAGTCTGTATGAGGGGGTACCGGGGTGATTTCCCGGTGGTGAGACCGATGCTCCGAAGCAGTGGCAAACAGGGTGGGAGAGGACCAAGGGAAATAACGGGGTGGGGGCTGGAGGTGCAAGTGAGGACAGCAGGTGGGTAAAAGAGAAGCTGGGACCACGGAGGGTAAGCAATGAGCAGTGGGGTGGGGCCCTGGTGGGATGTGGGTCTCCCTCCCTTTGCCAGACCAAGTATGTGTGTGGGCTTAAGAAGGAGACTGGGAGCTGAAAACTGGAAGGTAAACGGATGCTGGGGTCGGGGCTGTGCAGTGGTGTGGAAGATGCTGGGGGCACACTGGGGAGGGGGCTCTGCAGGAGTGTGTGCAGAAAGAAGCTGGAGGGAAAACTACAAACGCGTGAGAGCGTGTGTGTATGTGTGTGTGTGTGTGTGTGTGTGTGTGTGTGTGTGTGTGTGTGAAGAGAGAGGTTGAAAGTGTTTGAGAAAGGTATTCAAACCACCAGAGCTAGGATGCATCTTTTTCTTAGGGAGTTGTTCAGGGTGGGGTGTTTGGTGCTCCCAGGGTGGAGCTATGAGCAACAGAAAAGGAAAAAAAAATGCATCCAGCTCCGGACAGCAAGCTGGGAGGATTTCAGGTCAGGTGGATACGGATAGTAGGTGATTGGAGGCTGGGCTCTGAGTTCACCGTGGTCCTCATCTGAAAGACAGTGAGCAAAGAATTTTGTGGTTGGGGACAGATAGGTTCAAAGAAGAAAGAAGTGAGAAAAAAAGGAGGGAAGTAAGACAAAGGACCTAGGTAAGGGGACAGGGATGTAGGGACGCTTGGTTTCTTTGCCTGAATGCTTTTCTTGTCGACAGAGCGGTTCTGCCTCTGCCTGCTGAGTGCACAGCTATGGTGACCTCTTGAAGACACAGATGCTTTCCCAACTGACCCCTACCTGAGCCTCCAGAACTCATGTCTTTTTCCAGATTCAGTGGCCCAGACAGTGGGTGTCACTTGGGACTCAGACTTCTCTGGGCAGCAAATAGCATCTCTTGGAATTCCAGAGGCCAATGAGACTAAACAGCCACGTTTTCAGGAGGCCATGGAAACACACTTCTCCAAGGCCCCTTCCGAAACCGCTGACCCCAGGTCTTTTCTGAACTCATGCCCGCTGGACCCCCAGGAGAAACCGCCTCTGGAGATCCAGGTGCAGTGCTGACCTCTTAATCAGCCCCAGGCCTAGGACAGAGCTTAAGTTCTCTTAGAAGAGGTGCCAGGACCTTTAGAGGCCGTCTTTCATCTCTCTCACATCCTCCCTCCCACCTCTCAGACACAGCACCAAGAGGAAGCATCCAGCAGTCATGGGTGACCAGGCCACAAAAGATCTGCAGGGATGCTCCTCCCAGGACCTGCTGACAGCTGCTCCAGCTTCATCCTTGTTCCCCTCATTTCTCAAGCTTTGATCATCCCCGCAGACCCTGGGGTGCCTCAATTGAGCTCTTGCTCCCTAGGCCCCACAAAGGGACGTCCTGTGGATCTTAGGAAGTCTTTGGGTGCCTAGAGGCTCCCAAAGAAGTCTTAAGCCATGATGGCACATTCTCAGAAGCCCCACCTTCCCGACTCAGGCCTCTAATGTAGCAGCCTCCCTGTACCTTGACTGTTGAAGGTACTGTTGACACAGCCCTAATGGGCTCCCTACAGTATTGCTGCTGCCAGCTGCCAAAGATGGGCGACACCTGGGTCCAACTACCCTGGCCCGGGCCTCCCCACCCAGCCTTGCTGTTGGTCTTCTTCCTCTTGGCAGCTGGGGTGATACACTCTGATGCCGGTACCAGCTGCCCAGTCCTTTGTACATGTCATAACCAAGTCGTGGACTGTAGTAGTCAGCGGCTGTTCTCCGTACCCCCGGACCTGCCGATGGACACCCGCAACCTCAGCCTGGCCCACAACCGCATTGCGGCCGTGCCGCCAGGCTATCTCACATGCTACATGGAACTCCGAGTGCTGGATTTGCGCAACAACTCCTTGGTGGAGCTTCCCCCAGGCCTTTTTCTCCATGCCAAGCGCTTGGCGCACCTGGATCTGAGCTACAACAACCTCAGCCATGTGCCAGCTGACATGTTCCGGGAAGCTCACGGACTGGTGCATATCGACCTGAGCCACAACCCCTGGCTGCGGAGGGTGCACCCCCAGGCCTTCCAGGGCCTCGTGCATCTCAGAGACCTGGATCTCAGCTATGGTGGCCTGGCTTTCCTAAGCCTTGAAGCCCTGGAGGGCCTCCCGGGGCTGGTGACACTGCAGATCGGGGGTAACCCGTGGGTGTGCGGTTGCACCATGGAGCCCTTGCTGAAGTGGCTGCGGAATCGGATACAGCGCTGTACGGCGGGTAAGGGAGATGACTGGACTGGTTATGGGGGTGGGATGTTTCAGAAGTAATATCTCCCCTCCCCCACCAAAAAAAAGGTAGTGATATTGTGTGTCCTTACCTTTGTATACCCCTCTTTTGTTGAACAAGTATTTGTTGACTATATGGGACACATGCTGAGTGCTAGAGACACTCATTTGCTAAAGAATTAGATTCCCCTTGCCTGTATGGTACCTATGTTCCCAAAGAAGACACGCAGCAAGCAAAAAAAGGGAGAAGTTGGTCATTGGTGGCATTTGTTGAACTTCTGCTGAGTGAGCTGAGACCCTGGCTTATATTATCTCAGTGAACCCTTTTTTTTAGTTGTCCCCATTCTACATGTGAAGAAGCTGAGCTGTAGAACCCTAAGAAGGCTTGCCCACAGCCACTCACTGAGAAATTGGCAGAGCCATAGATAAAAACATAAAAACACATTCATCTGACTTCTACTCTACCTCTCGTCAGTGCCGAGAAAACCCTGAAAGAAACAATCATGACTAATCCTATTTATTTTAGTACTTACTATGTGCCAGGCCTTATTCTAAGCATATTTCATGTGTTGGCTCCTCTTATCCTCATAAGAACCCTAATGAAGAGGAAACAGAAGAACAGAAACATTTCATAGCTTGGTCAGAATCACACAACGACCATGAGTGGAGTAAGTACTCACTCAAATCCTAGCAGTCTGGCTGTTCCCTGGCCATACTGTCAGGAATCAGGTACTGGACTAAGTAACCTGCTCTGGGCAGGCCAAGCGGCCTTAGCGGAGTCTTCAAGGTTTACACATGGGGTGGGCATCGGGGAGAGGGAATGACATGAGGCAGTTTAACTGTAGAGTCCCAACCAGAGAGTGGACGGAGGCCTAAATGGCTAGCGTCACGGAGCGGATGGGTCCTGGTCCCATCCAGTGGTATTGAGTCTGGCCCAGAGGCAGGCAAGTTTAGCTGTGGCCCCACCACCAGTGCACTTATAGCATAGCACCCAGCCTTGGCCTAAGTACCGGGCATCAGAACAGGAGGAGCTCCTGGAGCCCCATCCCAGGAATTCCCTAGAGCCTAAGCTCAGAATACTCAGGGGGCGCAGGGAACAATGCTGAGTGAGGCAAGAGAGAGAGGACTGAGTGGGGAGCCCGAGACTAAAATAACTTGGGGGGGCTGTGGGTCACGATTCCAGTGTTTCCACAGAGCCGTGGGAGGAAGTTCTCCAGTACCAAAATAGCTGGAGACAGAGAGGGGATGATGGTGGGGACCAGGATGGGGAGGCTGCCGAGAGCCATCTCCCTACCAGCCCAACCTCTCCGCAAACTGTGCCTCCCTCTCCCTCCTCACTATTGGCAGAAAGAGCCTTCTGGGGCACGCAGCTCTCTCGTCATAGTAGGGATTCCTCATCTGCTGAGATCTCCGGGGGCCCGGCTGCCCTGCAGAAAGCCTGGCTGCCTCAGAGAGGAGATGAGACCAGACCCAGTCAGTGTAGACTTATACATCAATTCAGGCAAGAGACCTGAGCTCTCAGCAGGAGTGGGAGGCCCAGTTCCCATGTGCAGAGGCTTACGTATGAATACAGGCAAGGGACTCAAACCTCCAGGAGACCAGAGACCCTCAAGTCCCAGAAGTATAGCCTCAGACATCACTGCAGGTGGGGCGTCTGAGCTCTGGAGAAGAACAGTGCCTGTTCTCAGGCCCCTCCTTCTCCACAGAGGATGGGTTACATTTCCTCTTAGAGGCCAAATCTTGCCAGTGTGTAGATCTGGGTGATACCATCCCTTTAGACATTTTCTATCACTTCCTCTCTCTTCTCCCAGTGAGATCTCCTGTTACCTATGCTGGGAGACAGAACTCAATAACTTGAGAGAGCTGCTGGAATACAATCTGATTTCGAGACTGAGCTCTTAATTTCCAGAGAAGTTTGTCAGCCCACAGCCTCCCACCCTGTGCACCCTCAGCCTCCTTTACCTGGCCTGCGTTGTCTCACTGCAGATTTATGGACATACACAATCAACTCTGGAAGTTGATACTGTCTAGTTTCCAACAGAGAGCTTCTCGTGAGTCAGCTCTAGACATGACCAGGACCTAATCAGAGTCTAGGGTCCTGTGAAAACAGCCTACGGGGATTGACTCAACCTGTGACTTGGGGGAAATTGCATTCTTATTCCTATAGTGAACACAAGTGCACACACACACACACATTTCTAAGACTAACAATATGGATGTATACCCATCTGTCTAAAGGATCAATACAGGTCATCACTTTGTTCTTTGCCCTCAAAAACTCCGTAATGACCAGGGAGTGGTGACACAGGCTGTATTTGAAAAACTGCAATTTTTTTTTAAAGCCTCACCTTGACTCGCTTGGAAAATTTAGATCGGATTATTCCCTGCTTATAATGGTGACACATGAGAGACAGGAAGGAAAAGATAAACAAGATTTGACCAGGGTTAGAGCTCAGTTAGAATTTTCGTCCTGACCCAGGACTTAGCTCTGAAGCTGCTGCCCAGAGCTGTAGGTGAAAATGTCTTGGAAGACCACTCTTACTTCCAAGACAGACTGAGGTTGGACCACTGACAACCATCGTGCATTTGTTGAAGTGACCCTAAGTGATGGTTCCACAAGGTTGGGGAGAAGGGCTATCACATCAAAAGAGCAGCTCAGCCCTCAGATGTCTGAGTATGACACCTGGGAAATCCAGCTGTGGTCATTATAAAAGGCACACCCTTTACCTAATGCTTAGTATGCCCCAGAAGCTTTTGTGCGCTGTGACTCTCTGGATCCTGAGTCCAATTGCAGAAGGCAGATATCATGATGATGGTCTCTTGGCAGACACAGAGGGACTAAGTATCCAGAGCCACACAACTGATGAGAGGTGAGGAGAGTCACACTCAGGTGATAACTCCAGCGGCTACGCTCTTGGATGGATTATCCGGAGAAAGCTCATGAGTTAGTAACAAGACACAGGCTTTTACGTTAAAGTCCCACATCCATTCAAGAAAGACCCACTGAGTGCTTACTACAAAGGGATGTTGTTCTGAGGCTGCTGTGGGAGAAGCATATCTTCAAGGGGGGAGAGACAGTAATAAAACCATTAGGCAAGCACACTGTAGGGGACAGCAAAGCAGAGTAGGGAGAGCAGGCATGCTAGTGAATGCAGGGAACACAGGTGTGCAGCTCTCCCAAGGGAAGGAAGTGAGAGACGGGCCTCCACAGAGACTTAGAGGAGAATCTTCATCACAAGGGGCAAGTACAGAGGTCCCCCCCTTCCTAGCTAAGAGGAGAGATGATTGGGGCCATGGAAGAATGATAGAGACATTGCCTCAGGAGCAGAAAAGGCTAAGCAAAATAAAGGGCTGGGGAAGAGTCCTCGGCACCCTAAAGGGGCTGTTGCTTCCTCTCTGTGTGAAAATGAGAAACCAAAAGAATATATGGAGAAGAAAGTGATGTGTCCAGATTTCAGGCTTCATGTGTCACGAAAGTCCCAGATCCACCATTCGAAATAATTGTAAGACTTCCCACAGATAACCCAATGAGCAGCCTTTTTCCACACCTATAAAAATAAGCTTTGTGGATCATTGAGGTGATGAGTGTATTTGAGGCACATTGAAGAAACCCAGTGACTCTCTGGAAGGGGCAGGAGATTCTCTCATGCCTTCTCGCCCCCAGGAGCCTTACCCTGCCTGGGTTCTGTATTGCAGATTCTCAGCTGGCTGAGTGTCGGGGCCCCCCTGAAGTTGAGGGTGCCCCCCTCTTCTCACTCACTGAAGAGAGCTTCAAGGCCTGCCACCTGACCCTGACCCTGGATGATTACCTCTTCATCGCCTTTGTGGGCTTCGTGGTCTCCATCGCTTCCGTGGCCACCAACTTCCTCCTGGGCATCACGGCCAACTGCTGTCACCGCTGGAGCAAGGCCAGCGAGGAAGAGGAGATTTGACACCAGTGCCTCTCATCCCTCCATGCTGCCGCTGCCGCTGCTGACCGCTGCACACCTTGGATCACGGTGCCCTGGCTGCTTCCATCACAGCTCAAACAACGTTGGGAAACTAACCTTGTATGAGCGTCTGTCCACCGTGAGCCCGGCACTGTGCTAGCACCTGGGAATGAAAGACAAATCCAACCCAGTCCCTGCCCTTGAGGTACTCACTTTTAATAAAAGAAAGCAGTTCCAAATCATTCTTTTATGACAAAATGCCAGTGCTCTAAGCACAGTGTCAGGGAAGCCCAGAGGAGAGTCCATCATCTGTGCCTCAAAAAGCCCAAGAAGAATTGCAAGAATGATCTGCTAAGTAGATGAGAAAGGTTGGCACAGCAAATGACAGAACACACAATGCAGGAAGTGTTGAGAGCCGCTCACTATTCCCTGTGGCCTAAGGGTATATAGGAGGTGTAGACAGAGGCAAAACTTTCCCTCTGACAGCCAGTTTTTCAGTCCCCACTGCCTGCCATTGCCCTCCAGGAGTGCGATGCCTCCTGTGCCAGCTCCATGACCTCCTCCCCCTAGCAGCTTTGGGGTGAAATGACCTCCAGTGACTTCCCTGATGGTGAGATCCCAGAAAACAGGCTGAGGGTAATGACCCTCAGCACCCTTCCTTCCTTCTATCCCTGTCTCTGCCTCTGACTTAAGGCTTGTCTTCAACGGAGGCAGCAAAAGTCTTGGCACCCTGGGATCCCAAATATGTAACTGTTCTTTCCATGGTGCTTAAAGCAAAGGAACTCACCAGGAAAGTGCATGGCAGGGCTCAGATCCTAGCATGTTGATACCCAGGGCAGGAGGACAAAGCACCACATTCACAACCATGAGACTGTATGTCTTTTCTTCTAAGCAACTCACTCGTTTGAGCATAAAGGAAGGAGCGCTAGTAATTGCTGATTCTTGCTAGTGTCCAGCAGTGTGCTAAGCTCCCTCAACAGTTTCCTTTCACACACACAACAGCTCTCTAGGGGATTTAGTGTTCCCATTTTGCAGATGAGGTCACCAGGCTCAGAATAAGGATAAGGTAACACGCTATGTCATGATCAATATACAACCAGTCTTCCCCACGACAATTCTTTCTAAAGCTCCATAAATTCAGACTCAAAGCATGCTAATGAAGTTGCTGATATGGACCAGGTAATCCTCTGGGCATGCTTTTGTTTTCTGATTCATCTCTTCACATTCTCACTGACAGAGAGTTTTTACTGTTCCCACTATGTAGTTGAATTTATTGTAGAAAGCTGGGCAACTTAATCAACTTATCTGTGCAAACAAAGAATATGGTCATTGTTGCCACTGAGGAAATCTGTATCTAATTGTAGAAACCAAGGACTCTGTGAAAATGTGATCCCCACCATCTTTGCTGTCATCTTCATCTTCCTCATTCTGTGTCATCAGCTTTCACCACGGTCTTTCCTGTCTCCTCGGACACTGGGAAGGCCAGGGAGTTTCCTTTGCATTCTGCTCCTTGACTTCTCGCACTGCGGTGTGGGAAACTAATCCAAACACTGGTTTACAGATAGGAAAGTAGAAGCTTGGGATTGAGTCTAACTCCATCCTAACACTGGACTCGGTTCTGCCGTGGGTCTCTTTCTAGTGTTTCCTTGGGCATTTGGGGGGAAAGAATGTCCTGGAAGCCTGCACAACAGAAGTAACAGAACCCTAAAATTCAACAGTCATTAGCACAATAATCACAAAAACCAATAAAAGGCAGTAAAGCCCAGCTGTGTCCAGATTGTGCTCACAGTCAGGCTGTGCCATCCTCTAAACCAGAGGCAGCACAAGGGACAGCTAAAGAGAAGACACCACCTTAACCATGGATGAGTCCATCGCTAGAACTGCTGACTTTTCTCTAACAGATCTATGGAAAGCAGGAGCTGTAGCTCCTACTGTGGGTTGTCTTACAAGAGAAACTAGGGGGTCTGAGAAAATGATAGGTGAGATCCTCAGTAGAAAATGGGGAGACTTAAGGCCCGGTCTTGTCGGCAAGGCTGACTTGAGAATAAAAACAAGAGCTTTCTATCCTGGCTCCAGACTCAGCAAGCTTCCATCACCCATCTGCCAGGTAGCCCTAAAATGCTTGGGGAAGGAGATTATGACATCTTCTGTCTCATTTTCATTGATCTAATCAACCAAAATGCCCCCCCAGCAGCTTCCTGCCTCTCTCTTGCTTATACCGTCTAGGCCAGAGCTCTGCTCCTATGAAATAAAACATAGAACTATGCCCTGCTCTCCCTGTGGCCCAACTGTGGCCAACAATGGTGGACTCCAGCTACCATCCACCAGTTAAGTTTATCACCTACAGTATTTTTGAAAGGAACTTTTAGAAATAGTATTCCTGATTTAAAAAAAAAAAATCATTTATCTTTCCGTAGAGGAACATCATGCTCACAGTAATCTCCTGAGCACTACTGTTTGCCGAATTATAGTTAACATATTTTAAGATATACTACTCTGTTTTGCATAGAATCAGAACAAGACGAGACACCAAATGCCTCCTGAGATCAAGTGTCCTTTCGAGTGGCACAATTTGATCTCCATTAATGGTAAAGACTTCTAAGGAAGCTATATATCAAGAAAATGTCTCTCCAACTTCTAGAAAGTCCCCAGTTGACTAAGGCACAAGAAGGGAGACATCCAGCCTCCATACCAACATGGAGTTCCACTCCCACCACAGCCCTGTTCAGGCTGCTGTCAGCACTAAGTGTCTAGAGAAAATAAAACAATTCTTGTTGCAAGTGTTTGCATATCCTGGTAACCACAAACCTGTTATTATGTTCCCCTGACGTTTCATTCAGTTTTCCCGCACTGGCTAGCATGTGTGTGATGACCATTTATTTGTGCGTCTGTGTAGCTGTGGCCCACGAGTGTTGGTCATCTGTCGACTTGGAGAATATTCCTTTGGAACTTGAGTTTAGTTTTCTGACACAATCCACTCAGCTATCAGGTTGATACACAAATATGGACCCTACCCAGTTGTCGGCTGCGCAGGAAATATAAAAACAACCAATGTTGTAATTGAAACAATCTATTGAACACCTGGCTCCCTCCATCTTCCCTCTGTCCTCCTCTATCCCCTAGACACTTTTCCCCTTTGCAGAAGTTTCCTTTATGCTGTGTCTGAGGATATCAGGTCATAACTAACCAACAAGAGTATGGTTGTCAGGGTCCAGACAAGAAAACTGTTCCTTAGAAAAGATCCCATGTCCACATCACACCATTCTGGACCATGTATCCTCAAGAAACCACTTCCTTTTTTCATTCTTACTAGGATTCCCATGGAAATATGAGGAAATAGGTTGCCCAGAGATGCTATAGAGCTTCATGGTCTCAGTTAAAGACTTGGTGTAATGGAGTTGGAGAGTTCAGTACATGCATTTCATCCCAACCTTTGGGAAAAGCCAACAGTTGCATTTCTCCATAGACATAGTGCTCTCATTCTTTTCAGTTGTAGAAGAGCACAAAAAAGATATCTTTGTTCATTCCTCAAAGCTAGGAAACCTTGTCTGCTTTTGTGTACCCAGGAGGCAAAAGGAAGTAAGGGAGGCAAGACCCAAGGGCCTTTTATAAATCACAGTGCTGGCCAGGAGCTGGGTCCATAAACCTCTCAGTTCTCCTAAGCCTTGATGTTTGATGGTGGGAGGGCTGGGGAGGAATAGGGAAGATGCCAACCTTTGTATGGAAATTATTTTATAACCATGCACTTTTGTAACTGGAAAGAATTTTTCATAAATGTACATTAATAATAAAAAGTGTATAGTTTAACTAATTTTTCTAAAGAGTTGTGAAGAGGAGGGAGGGTGGAGGCAGAAAAAAGAAAGATAGAAAAGAGCTAGGCAGAACCAAAAGAATGTGCGCCAAAATATACACACAAAAGTCTATGGGGGGAATAGATGAGAATAATTAGGAGATGTGCCAGCCATGGAGGGGCATGTGTGGGAGGTAAAGACACATCACAGAATCTTATTTCTACCAGGCGAAAGGAAAAAAAAAGAGTACATGCGTTTCTTTATGCACATACCCCCTGTGTGTAGGAATATTTTGGTATCTGAAATTAAACAAAGCAGAGAACATATGTTTTAGACATGTTGGTGTTTGCAGTTTGGGTCATCCATAAAACATGCCAAGGCAAGTGGGAGTGCTCGCCTAATTAGCAACGCTGAGGAGCATGTGCTAGGGAGATGGCCCATGCCAACCACATGGATAAAAAGACAGCAACGAGTATGCAGGTGAACGTACTGTGTGGTTGCTGCTGTGCTAAGCACTATGTGTGGGTTCATTCACTTAATTCTCAAGAAGCTAAGATAAAATCTAAGTATAGTGGTCCATGCCTGTAATCCCAGCACTCAGGATCATGACAGACTAAGCTACGTAACAAGACCTGGTCTCAAAATAACATAAAGGAAAAAGCTAAATTCTATTATCATAGCCACATGGAACGTAGGGAAACTGAGAACTGAGATGTATCAGGTTAATATTCACATAGCATTTGTAACTAGCAAGAATAGATTAGACAGTGGCATATTGCACGTGACCTCTGGCTTCCTAGGATAAAAAACACAAAAGTATTTTAGGGAGCTGAAGTCTTAATCAGAAGCAAGCCTTCAATCACAGAATCCCTCTATTGTGACTGTCCCCTTGGTATGCATGGAGGATTGATTCCAAGATGCCCCCTCTTGCATATCAAATCCCACAGTTGCTGAATCCCTTGGATGCATGCTTTCTTCATATCTTAAGTCATCTCTGAATTATCTATAACGCCTAATACAGAATAAACACTACATAGTCACTGTAAAGTACTGTGCACAGGCTGGAAGGAAGTCATCTATTCAGTATTCGGTACAGAAGCAGCTGACTTTTTAATCGTTTTAACCCTTAATTGGTTGAGTCTATAGATGGGGAACCTCAGATGGAGAACACTAACTCTACCAGGTGACAGAAAATTGAAGAGCATGGACTGGCAAGATGGCGCAGCAGGTAAAGGTGCCTGCAGTCAAGGCTCAGGACCTGAATCTGATCCCTAGGACCCATGTGATGGTGGAAGGAGAGAACCGACTTCCACAGATTGTCCTTTGACCTCCACATGCATGAGTTTACACACACACACACACACACACACACACACACACACACACACAAATGAATAAATAAATAAACATATATAAATCAACGTGATATAAGAAAAACATTGAAGTGTGTTGAGTGAAGCAACTAAGATGTTCTTTGCTTTAATAATTGCATTCTCCAGGCAGCTTACTGTATATAAGGTATATAACAGGTAACCCCAAAATGTCAACAGAATAAACATTTGTTTCCTAGAACGTTTAGCACAGTGAATGCTTCTTTATTCCTCATGTCATTTCAATGCCTGTCAAAGGCTCTGCTCCACACAGTCATTCAGAGACCCAAGATCCTTCCCTCTTGTGGATCTCCCATTTTTGATGCCTCTTCTGAATCCTCTGCATTGTAGAAGAGCTCCAGAGAGATTTGGAAAGTCGGAGCTGAAAGTATTGAACAACAATTCCAGCTCCTTACTTCAAGACTTTCTATGCATCTAAAAGGCAAAGAGAAGACATTGGTTACCGTCGCCAGTTGTAACATGGTCTGCAGTTATGTAGACAAAAGTTCCTGTCCTACCTGGTCCCATAGCCATTCAGTTCCCCCCCACCACCAAAAAGAAAAAAGAAAAGAAAAGAAAGAAAGAAAGAAAGAAAGAAAGAAAGAAAGAAAGAAAGAAAGAAA